ATCCCTCCGCTTTAGTTCCTGCTGTTGTTGTTCCGTCCTCATTCTGTTCCTCCCGCTCATCCTCCTGCTCCAGGCACCTCCTCCTTTGTGCACGCAGCTCCCATCTTTCCGATTGCGCATAACACTAGGTGGTCTTTCTGTGTTAGTCGTAGGTCCGCACGCGTCCGCGGATAGAGAGAAAAGTCAGCGCCATGGGTAGGGATGGGAAGGAGGGATAGTATGTCAGATGAGGCGCGAGCTCACCTACATTGCCTCCCACCCCTCTCCTCCCTCCGCCTCGTCCTCCTCCCTCCTCCCCCTTCTTCCCTCCTTTGCCCTGCTCGCCCTTGTTCCTTTCTCCATCCTTATTGCTCCTTCCCCGCTCCTTACCCCGCTCCCCTCCTTTCATCATGAAGGGGTCTGGGTTTTGCCGATCCTCACCATCCCTGGTGTTTTTAAGCGGCCTCGAAGGCGCCGTGTCGCACGCCTGCGACCTGGGCAACTACGATAACGTGCAGTGCCCCAGTGGAGGAAGGAAAACGAGAGAGGCGGGGGGTTGGATGTGGAGGTGGGGAGGGAGGATCTTGGATGAGATGATTCTGGGAGGTGTTGGCGTGATTCTGGACGGCTTTACCGAATTCTGCTTTGAGTTTTCCCCCACCCGGGTTTCTCATGTCGACTTCTTTCGCAGCTGAGGTTCTCCGGCCGAGTTTTTCTGGCCGGGTCTCTCTAGTAGAGTTTGGCTGGTCGAGTTCGGCCTGGCGGAGCTTCTCCAGAATCGGAGTCGTCTGCGCGAGCCGTTCTTCAGGAAAGGAAAAAGCACACAGACACAAGTCATCGTCGACTCCCAGGAAAAGAGGGGAAAATAATAGGGGACGTGGGGGGGGAAGACAGAAACACCCAGAACACATGGGAAAGTGTGGGGGAATCCTGTTGACCGTGTCTAATCTATCTGTGTGTCCCTGGGCCCCTTCGGTGCCGGGCGCCGCGCGCGCGCACGGCCCCGCCAGAGGCGAGGCTTCGGCCGGGGGGGGGCGCGCCGCGCGGAGGGGCCCCGAGTGGGCGGGCGGAGCGCGGGAGGCACGCGCGGGCACGCCGGGCAGACGAGTGCGTGGTCGAGCAGGCGCAGCCGAAAGGAGCGAACGAGCGAGCAGGAGGAGGAGGAGGAGGAGGAGGAGGAGGAGGAGGAGGAGGAGGAGGAGGGGGAGGAGGAGGGGGAGGAGGAGGAGGAGGAGGATGAGGAGGAGGAGGAGGAGGAGGAGGAGGAGGGGGAGGAGGAGGAGGAGGAGGAGTCAAGCAAGCGCAGCCGAAGTGAGCGACCGGCGAGGCCGATGCCGTCGATCGAGCGGGCGAGAGATTTCAAGCTCTGCAGCGAGCGGGCCCCTGAGAAGCGGGCGGAGCGAGGAAAGTCACCAAGAGAGAGAGAGAGAGAGAGAGAGCGAGACAGCGGAGCCGAGGGAAGGGACACAAAGCAAGGAATGCACAGATGAGCGAAGTATAGGGTGGCTACAGAACGGTTGTAGTCACACGCGCGCACACGCATTTTGCCTTAGGCTGGCCTTTAGGAGTGAGACAAAGGCTGGGCCACTGTAGCAATCATTCTGCATGGCTACAACACGTGCTGTAGTCACGCATTTTTTTGTCCGTGTTCTCTTTATTCCCAACCCTCCTTGGTTGGGTATTCGTTTAGCATAGAGCACAGCGGTCTCCAGTCCTTCTCCTCCCCCTCCTCCTTCTCCTCCTCCTCCTCCTCCTCCTCCTCCTCCTCCCGCCTCCCGTCTCCCGCTTCCGTCTTGTCTCCTCTTGCCTTGCGCGTACCTCGTGTGTGTGTGTGTGTGTGCATCCTGGCTGCGGTGCCTCTTGTGTGTGCATCTTGCCAAGGGCTGCGATCTGTGACACTGTCGCCACTTTCGAGGGCTGCTGGTGGGTCCTGCGGAGTGAGGCACCGCGGGGACCTGAGCGAGACCTCGCCGTCCCTGGGGGGCTGCGATCTGCGACAGTGTCGCCACTTTCGAGGGCTGCTGGTGGGTCCTGCGGAGCGAGGCACCGCGGGGACCTGAGCGAGACCTCGCCGTCCCTGGGGGGCTGCGATCTGAGACAGTGTCGCCACTTTCGAGGGTTGCTGATGGGTCCAGCGGAGTGAGGCACCGCGCGGACCTGAGCGAGACCTCGCCGTCCCTGGGGGGCTGTGATCTGCGACACTGTCGCCACTTTCGAGGGCTGCTGGTGGGTCCAGCGGGGTGAGGCACCGCGGGGACCTGAGCGAGACCTCGCCGTCCCTGGGGGCTGCGATCTGCGATAGCGTCGCCACTTTCGAGGGCTGCTGGTGGGTCCAGCGGGGTAAGGCTCCGCGGGGACCTGAGCAAGACCTCGCCGTCCCTGGGGGGGGGGCTGCGATCTGAGACAGTGTCGCCACTTTCGAGGGTTGCTGGTGGGTCCAGCGGAGTGCGGCACCGCGGGGACCTGAGCGAGACCTCGCCGTTCCTGGGGCGGCTGCGATCTGCGACACTGTCGCCACTTTCGAGGGTTGCTGGTGGGTCCAGCGGAGTGAGGGCACCGCGGGGACCTGAGCGAGACCTCGCCGTCCCTGGGCGCTGCGATCTGAGACAGTGTCACCACTTTCGAGGGTTGCTGGTGGGTCCAGCGGGGTGAGGCACCGCGGGGACCTGAGCGAGACCTTGCCGTCCCTGGGGGCTGCGATCTGCGATAGCGTCGCCACTTTCGAGGGCTGCTGGTGGGTCCAGCGGGGTGAGGCACCGTGGGGACCTGAGCAAGACCTCGCCGTCCCTGGGGGACAGCAGGGGGTGTATATCAACAGGGAACAATGATGAACCCCTCCGCCGAGCAGGGAAAGGAGGGATTTTTGGATGAGGGGAGACAGCAACTCGTCATACCACGTTCGCCCAGAGGGCTGGCTGGTGCGATATCCTTCTCCCCGCGGCCAACGCAGCGCGGAGCCCGGCGCCCTCGCGTGCTTTCTGGAGCACCATCGCGCCTCTCCGAGCAAGACTCTGTGCGCGGCTGCGCGCGCCACAGACGTGATCTCCCCCGCCCGCCAGTGGAACGTCGCCGAGACGAAGTGAACGAACGACGTGGCAGGGATAAGAACGGAAAAGGTACCGAGGCAGAGAACGAGAGAAGGAGGCTTCCTCTGGGGCGTCACTGTCGTTACCCGGGCCAGGGCCCCCCCCCGGGCAACGGTGACGATCGTCGTGCGTAGGGGGTGGCCTGGACCCCCTCCACCCGCCCGCCAGTGGAAAATCGCCGAGACGAAGTGTACCGAACGTCATGGCAGACAGAGAACGAGAGAAGAAGGCTTTTCATCCCAGGGGGGCGTCACTGTCGTTACACGGGCCAGGGCCCCCCCCCCCCAGGCAACGGTGACGATCGTCGTGGGGCTGGCCTGGACCCCCTCTCCACCTGCTCGTCAGTGGAAAGTCGCCGAGAAGAAGTACAACCAGCAACGTGGCAGGCACGAGAGTGATGGAAAAGGTACCGAGGCAGAGAACGATAGAAGAAGGCTTTTTTCCTCTGGGGCGTCACCGTCGTTACCCGGGCCAGGGCCCCCCCCTGGGCAACGGTGACGGTCGTCGTGCGCCGGCGGTGGTGCTCGCGCGATCGCAGCGCACCCCCGCGGTGACGTGCCCTGCCCCGCCCAAGCGTTACCGTTACCCGGCCCCCCCCTCCAGGTAACGACCGGTACCCGAAGTATTCAAAACAACAGGCCCCCCCCGCGGGTAAGGTGAGGGGGGAAAGGCTTCGTAGAGGGAGGCTGCTTCCTGGACGGCGCGGGCCTTTACTTCTGTGGAGGTGGCCTGCGCCTTCCGAGAAGCAGGGGTGCTCCCGAGAGCCCCCCGCCCCCCTCCTCCTGCCCTCCCTCCGCGCGTGGCCGGACGGGGCGGCGCTGCGGCCCCCGCTCGCCCGGGCAGGGCGGGGCCGCCGTGGGAGCAGGGCAAAGGGGGCTCGAGGAGGAGGAGGAGGAGGAGGAGGAGGAGGAGGAGGAGGAGGAGGAGGAGGAGGAGGAGGAGGTCGGGGCGATCGTCCGTGCCACGGGCACGTCTTGGTCCGAGCATCTTGCGGCGCACGGGCACGCCTTTCACACGGCACGCTGCAGCGCCCTCTGATCTCATTGGCATGACGGCGTCGAGCGGCGCGGCGCGCTCCCGATGTTGCCGGTCTGCGCAGGGGCCTTGCGCCTCGACGGGGTGGAGCCTCGCGCGGGGACGCCCACTCGTGTCTTTGCGGCATGCAGTGCTCGGCGATGCCACGGGTGCTCAACGTGGTGCGACGCATTTGGGGCGAGCATTGTTTGCCGTCTGGGGCCTGCTGGGCGAGGGCGACCACGGAGACGCAGCGTCGCCTTCCGCGGTTTGTACCCACCACGCGGGTCTTGTGGAAGATGATCTGGGAGTGAGCGGCAAGGTTTCTTCCGAGTCATCGGTTGCCGTCACCGCCTGGAAGGCCATCACACGTGACATCTCTCGTTTCGACTTCTTGGAGGAGCTCTCATGGAGCTCATTCGGGCCTTGGGGCTGTCTCGGGCAATCGTCGGGTACTTAGTCTTGCGGGTCCCCTGCGGCCCTTTTGGGCTGTCTTGGGGGCATTGCGGGGCCCTCGTGGACCTTCTTTCGGCGGCGAGCCTGGGGGGAGGTGAGAAAGGGGCGGTCCTTTGAGAAGGCTCGGAAGTCTCCTGGCCTTCTAAGCAGTTTTCTAAGCCTTCCCTGAAGACACATAAAACCTCCGAGAAGGCCCGAGGCCTTCAGAGAAGTCCCACCGCCTTCGGAGAAGGCCTTCTCCTTCTCACTTCCCCCCCTCGCTCGCCGCCGATCTTGGACAGTCTTGGGTCCCTCTGGGCCGTCAGATCGTCAAAAAAACACACGACACCACCCCACCCACGGCGCACGCAACTGGACGTGACGAACTCGGCGGCGAGCCCAGGGGGCAAGCGAGAAGGAGAAGGTACTCTTGGAAAACGGCGGGAGGCTCGAGCGCCAGGGATGCGCCGGGGCGGCCCAGGGGAGCCCCGGGAGGGGGGGCGACGCAGGCAAGTGGACGTGATGAAGTCGGCGGCGAGCCCGGGGGGGACGTGAGAAGGAGAAGGCCTTCTCGGAAGGCGGCGGGGCCGCCTCAGACGGCCTCTGACCTTTGAGTCTTTTTTTTCGTCTTTGGGGGAGGCTTCGGAAATTTCTCAGAGGGCTGGGGGACTTCCGAGCCTGCTGAGAAGGCCCGCTCCTTCTCACTTCCCCCAAGGCTCGCCGTGGAGCAACTTGACGCGATACAAGGGTGGGACGCCTTACGGAAACCCTACCAGCAGCACTTGGCGCTCTACCACGCTTTCATATGTCAGGGGGCACGCACCATGGCGGGTCACGGCTGCCGTGGCAGATTTCGTGGCACTGTCGGAGGAGTATTCGTTTTTGTTTTGGTTCAAAACGCATGAACAGCATTGCCATTTCGTGGGGGTTGGACGCGATTTTTCCACAGCCAGGTGACCATCGCAATGTGCCGCGGGGTGCG